CCCTTCTACAATCATCAATTATAATGAATTCTCATCAACTCTCATCAAGAATTTCTTGATTCTCTCTCTCTTTCTAGCTTATCCTTTTACAAACACAATTCCTCATACATTAGTACTAGACACACCTAGCATAATTCGAAGTTGCCTTCGCCCTAGACGTGAAAGGTTTTAATTAATGAGGTTTGGTCCCAAATCTCTTTTTCAATTATTTAATTTAATTATTTTAATTATTATTTTCCTTGAAGTTACTAACGTGTGTATTTTGTTATTAGAAAGAGGTACGAGGCATCCAAGTAAGTTCTTTAATTGTTTAATTGATATTATGATGTAGAAATCATGCTTAGGTTGTGATTTTTATTCCTGGTATCATGTTAGGATGTTTTCCTTGATTTGATGTTTAGGGTTACAACAATAAATTCCTAGTATCATGTCTAGGGTAACTTTAATATCAAGTATGATTAAAAGTATGATGCCTTTTATTTTCTTTCTAATATTCATGATTGTTAGTATCATGTTAGGGTTAAAGCTTTGATTTTTTATGTTTAGTGACATGCTAGGGCTTGTTATTAATCTTGTTAGTATCATGCCTAGGATCTTGCTATTCTTATGCTTTAACATGATTATTTTAATTATGATTATAATTTTATGATGATGATTATTATAATTATTATTATAATTTTATGATGATGATTATTATAATTTTGAACACACCTTTTATGCATGATTAATGGGAATTTGTACTTGTAATCATGCTTAATAAGATAATTAGTAATCTTGTTTAGGGTTAATATGATTATAATTCAAGTGATCGCCAATAATAGTTTAATTGTGCATTAATATTCAACAAAATAGATTAAACAGGTTTAGGGTAATCCTATTGATTGCATTTAGTCAGAAAGCGCACATGAATACGATCAGAATAAAGTAGAGGCCTATTATTAGGGCAGGTTCAATCTCTTTTAGGTTTGATTTGTACCTTCATCCGCGAACTACCAGTCATGGTTCAAGACCTATTGGAGTTGACGATCTCCTGGATCGTTAAAGGGTGTAACCTTCACCTCGTGAACGGTTTACAAATTCCTAAAACTTGTTGGCGACTCTTTTGCTCTATCTTTCTTCCCTTTGGACGCCACTGTACTTTAGTGTATGATCACAATGGGGTTCAAGCTAGGGATGATGCTTGAAATATTCCCTACAAAGACTCAAAAGAAAGCCATTGTAAGTTTGTGTAAATCTGATCTCAATTGAATAATAGCTTGACTCTTTTTGTAGCAATGATACTAACATTTGTTTCTATTTTGGAACTTCGAGAGCAAAATAAAAAGAATGCAGAGATGAAGGAATACGTCCATTGTATGGGGCCTAAGACATTTGCTGAAAAGAGACCTGAGTGGGTCGATAAGGGTTTATACCCTAAATCGCTTCTAGTGGCATCGAAGGAACCCTCTAGTTCCACGATCACTACTTTGGTGAGTCGTGCTGGTGATTTCTTTTGTTCTCTCCATACGTTTGATAAGGAAACCGGAAAATGGGTCATCAAGGGTCCGGAAACCAAAAAAATGGCAGATAAGCTTGTAAATTACCTATGAACTGTTGAATTTTAAGTCACTTTTGCATCTAAATCACTATACAAACCATTAACTGTCTTACTAACCTCATTTTTCCTTTTTCTATAGCTTAAGCACACTTAAGAGCTGGTGGAGGGCAAATTTGAACCAAGTGTGGAGAATAACCTTTTCACCATTAGGAGCCGCTGCCCGGGTAGTTTCGGACTCGGCAGCCGCTGCCGGGGCTGCTCCGGCATTGGAATCACGAAGCCCCGGGAGCGGCTGCAGTTGCTGAAGCAGCCCCGAAAACCGGCTCTGCGGCAGCCTGGGGTGCAGGAGCCCCGACAGCGGCTGCCTAGGGTGCAACAGCCCAGGAAGCCGCTACCGGGGCTGCTGCAGCCTCGGCAGCCCCTGCTTGGGCTGCTGCAGCCTTTGCAGGCGACTGCTGTGGCCTTGGCGAGGGTTGCCTTTGCTGTTCCGGCAGCGGGGGCGGCTCCCTCGGGTGTTCCGATTTGGCTGAAGTTGCGTATTTTTTTTTTTAAAAAAATTTGAGCAATTTTTTTTTTTTTAAAATAAACTCGGCAGAATGGCTTTTTGCATGCTTATTTTCTTCATTTCTCAACTTATGAACTTTTTATTTCTCAAACCATATCATAATTACATATTTTTAAGTGATTGTGAGTTGAAATTGCATAAAAGAAGCAAAGTTTTAAGTTTTTGGGCCCATTTCATCAAAATAAAGCCATTTTGAGCCGAAATGGCTACTCACTTGCCTATTTTCTTCATTTCTCAACTTATAAACTTATTCATTCTCAAACCATCTTATAATTACATATTTATAAGTGATTGGCAGTTGAAATTACATAAAAGAAGCTAAGTTCTAACGTTTTGGGTCCAATTCATCAAAATAAAGCCATTTTGAGCCAAAATGGCTTCTCATTTGCCTACTTTCTTCATTTCTCAACTTATAAACTTATTCATTCTCAAACCATATCATAATTACATATGTATAAGTTATTGTGATTTGAAATTGCATAAAAGAAGCAAAATTTTAAGTTTTTTGGCCCATTTCATCAAAATAAAGCCATTTTGAGCCAAAATGGCTTCTCACTTGCCTATTTTCTTCATTTCTCAACTTATAAACTTATTCATACTCAAACCATATCATAATTACATATGTATAAGTGATTGTGAGTTGAATCTGCATAAAAGAAGCTAAGTTCTAAGTTTTTTGGCCCACTTCATCAAAATAAAGCCATTTTGAGCCGAAATGGCTTCTCACTTGCCTATTTTCTTCATTTCTCAACTTATAAACTTATTCATTCTTAAACCATCTCATAATTACATATTTATAAGTGATTTTCAGTTGAAATTACATAAAAGAAGCAAAGTTCTAATTTTTTGGGCCCATTTCATCTAAATATAGCCATTTTGAGCCGAAATGGCTACTCACTTGCCTAATTTCTTCATTTCTCAACTTATAAACTTATTCACTCTCAAACCATCTCATAATTACATATTTATAAGTGATTTTCAGTTGAAATTACATAAAAGAACCTAAGTTTAAAGGTTTTGGGTCCAATTCATCAAAATAAAGCCATTTTGAGCCAAAATGGCTTCTCACTTGGCTATTGTCTTCATTTCTCAACTTATAAACTTATTCATTCTCAAACCATATCATAATTACATATTTATCAGTGATTGTGAGTTGAAATTACATAAAATAAGCAAAGTTCTAAGTTTTTGGGCCCATTTCATCAAAATAAAGCCATTTTGATGCGAAATAACTTATAATATGCCTATTTCTTCATTTCTCAACTTATAAACTTATTTTTTCTCAAAATATTTCAGATTTTGCATGGAAGAAAAACATCAAAGAGAAAGAGGGTGGAAAAGCCTAAAAGCATTGATCAACCTAAGAAGAAGCTAAGTGAACAAAGGTCCAAGAGTGAACAAGTGTCGAAGTTGCACTCTTCGAAAGGTTCACCCATGCAACCTACACCACTAGTTGAAGACATTGTTCTTTAATCGCTCTCTGCTTCCATGAACTTTCTTCACAACCATGCTTGTCATTTGGTCGATCCCATGGAAGTTGCACTTCCTAAGGCAATGTTCCACTATGATGGGGATGCAGTTGCATGGATCAGCAAAGAAGATGTGAAGGAATTTCTACGTGGTGCAAAGCTTAACATTTCCCTCATTCAAACATTCATGAGGTACTTCAATGCCCACATAATCTACACTTTTTTCAAGTTATTCAAATTTATGGTGATTATCCTACATGTGATTAATTATTCAATGTTCATGCACGCAAAGCACTACAGGAGCACTTAATTGAAACTGATTCTCCTTGTAAAGATGGATGGTTATGCCCCGAGCAGTTATCCACTACTAGAATAATAGGCAACCCCCATGATGTGTTGTTATATGTTGAGAAAAGTGTCAGGGAATCAGCCCGTGCGGGAGACAAGTTCATATTCGCACCATGTTATAAAGAGTAAGTCTAACCATGTCAAATTCAATCGATTTGGCCTCATTATATGTTGACTCCTAAATATTAATTTGCTTGTATATTGTGAACTTATTTAGGGAGCATTGGAGCGTCATGGTGATTTGTAATTCCAATAACACAATTTATCACCTTGATTCAGCTTGTTCATCGGAGAAGTGGCTTGTGAAGTCTATATTGCAAAAGTAAATATATATAGCTACCTAGTGATGATTATTGCTAATAAAAACTAATTTAGTAGTCATACAACTAATCAAATTTGAATGTAATTTATTTAATACAGGGTTATGAAGAAGATACATTGTCGTGCTCCAAAGGGTCCAACATGGAAGTCACCGTTGGTAATTTAAATGATATTGTGATTATCTTCAAAATCTATGTTAGTAAACATTTACTAATTTCCTTTGCATGTTTCACTAATGTGATTTGTTTGTCATATTCTAGTGTGCACAACAAGAAAATGGACTTGAGTGTGCTTTGTATATGATGAGATTCATGCTTGACATTGTGACTCATTGTACGGACACTCAACAGCTTGATGAGGTAAGTCCTAAAACTTAATAAAATGCTATATTGATGTGATTTCTAGGCTAGACACCTAATATTACCCAACATTGACATGTTATGAGAAATAAAAAGGTCATTTGACAAGAAAGGTAGAAAATGGGTTGAATAGAAGTCATTTGGGCCATATTTGGGCCATTTTGTGTTAATATGCTCTTCTGATGTGATTTCTTTCCTTATACACTTATAACTAGATAATATTGACATGTTATGAGATAAATAAAGTTCATTTAATAAGAAATGTATGAAATGGGCAAAGTAAAGTCATATAGGCCATATTCGGGCCATTTTGAGTAAAAAGCGTCTTAAACCTTAATAAAATGCTCTTTTGATTCAATTTTAGGGCTTAGACACATAAAACTAGGTGTCATTGGAATGATATGCAAAAACCAGATGTGTATTGGCATGATGATGGGTACTTTATTATCAATATGTGTTCTAGTGATGATAGAGATACTATACTTTGTTCTGGTCCTCATATGATTTTTGGGAAGCCTGCAATAGTGAAGCCTTGGTGCCCCGATTTTGATTTTCATTCTGAAATTCTTAGAACTATTCCTCTTTGGGTTAAATTCCCTAATCTCCCACTTAATTGTTGGGGATCTCACACTCTTAGTCGCCTTGGTAGTTTGCTTGGAGTGCCAATTTGTGCTGATGAGTGTACTACTAGACAGCTTAGAGTGTCTTTTGCTAGGGTTCTGATTGAGATTGATGTTAAAAAACCTATGCCAACCTCTGTGTGGGTTGAGAGTCCTTCAAAGGAATTATTGGAGATCAGGGTGGTGTATGATTGGGCTCCTTCTTTTTTCTCTAAGTGTAACAAGATTGGTCATGATTGCTATGTTAAGCCTCCTTTGCCTAAGCAGGCTTCTAAGCAATCGGCTCCTGTTCCTCCTAAGCAAAAGCAAGTTTGGGCTCCTAAGCCTACCCATGTTCCTGCTTCTACTGCTGCTGTTGATGTTGGGGTTTCTGTTCATGGTCAATCTATTATTACTCCACAGGTTCATACCTCTAAGAATTCAGATGAGGGTTGGAGAATAGTAGGGAGGAAAACAAAAAGTCAGCAAACTAGAGTTCATCATCCTGCTTCTACCTCTAATGCCTTTGTTGCTTTGTTTGCAAATGAAATGGATGGTGCAGGTGGTTTCACTATAAATCCAAGCGGGGGTGAGGTTAATCCCCCTTTTGTGTCATGATTTACTCTGTTTGGAATGTTAGGGGCCTGAATGACCCTGGCAAAGTTGCCTCTGTAAGGAGGTTGCTTCACTCTCATTCAGTTGATGTTATTGGATTGCTTGAAACAAAAATCAAATTGAAAAACGTTCTCACTTATCAGAAGAAGTTTGGCTCTTCTTGGCTTTGGTTGTGTAATTATGATCATTCTCCCAAAAGGAGGATTTGGCTTGGTTGGAATGTGGATAGAGTAACTATTAATGTCTTGAAGATTCATGAACAGTTCTTCATTGTACTGTTTCTTCTAAGGATCTCTCTACTCAAATTTATCTCACTGTTGTCTATGGTCTTCACTCCATTCATGATAGGCTTTCTTTGTGGGAGGGGCTCAGAAGCATCTCTATCCAGCATTCTCCTTGGCTTTGTGTTGGTGATTATAACTCTGTTCTTCATGCTTCTGATAGGCTCCATGGTGCTGATGTTACTGATTATGAGACTAGAGACTTTCAGAATTTGGTTGATGATTTGGATCTCACTAAGCTCAAAAGCAAGGGTCCTTCTACTCTTGGTCTAATAAGGCTCATACTGGCCCTAAAACGTTCTCTAGACTTGATAGAGCCTTTGGTAATCAAGCTTGGTTAGCTTCTCATGGGCATGTGGAGACTGTTTATCTCCCTCCTTCTTTATCTGATCATAGTCCAGTTTTGCTGGATATTTGCTCTGGCCCTGTTGGGAAAGGTAGACCTTTCCGATTTCTAAACTGTATTGCTGATCATCCTGATTTTCTTGATACTATTTCACGAGCTTGGGGCTCTGGTAGTTCTGTTTGGCAGAAGCTCAATTCTGTGAAGTCTAGTATCAAATCTCTTACTAGCAAGCAGTTTGGTAACATTGAGGGAAAGATTGACCAGGCTAATGTTGAGCTTTCTAGAATTCAAACCTTAATGGCTCAGAACCCTGATGATTTGGAGTTATATGCTAAAGAATCTGATGCTATTAAGGTTGTCAAGCACTTGAACGATATTCAGGAAAGCATCTTCAAGCAAAAATCTAGGATTAATTGGGTTAAGCTTGGAGATGGCAATTCTCACTACTTCTTTTCTGTGATGAAGGCTAGGCAAGCAAGGAATAGAATTGACTCTATTTTTTATTCTAATCAGGTGTTGCTCAAGGACCCAGATGCCATTTCTCATGAAATTATCTCTTTCTATAAGTCTCTTTTAGGGACACAGACTCCTTGGCTCCCTGCTGTTGACCTTGTTACTATGCGGAGGGGTAAGCAGCTTAGCTCCGCTGCTCAGAGCTACCTCATTAGGCCTATTTCTCATGCTGAAATTGATGTCGCCCTTAAGGGAATTGATAACACTAAAGCTCCTGGTATTGATGGCTTTAACTCCTTTTTCTTTAAGAGAGCTTGGCATATTGTGAAAGATGATATTTATGCAAGTGTTATTGATTTCTTTAATAATTGGATCTTGCCTAGGCAATGGAATTGCACAACTATTACTTTGGTCCCTAAAGTCCTCTCTGCTTCTAATGTTAAGGATTTTAGACCTATAGCCTGTTGTACTGTGGTCTATAAGCTCATTTCTAAAATCATAACTGCTAGGCTTGCTGCTGTCATTGGTGAGGTGATTGATGATGCTCAGGCAGGGTTCATTCCTGACAAGCACATTGGTGACAATATTCTTCTTGCAACTGAATTGATCAAAGGCTATGATCACAAATTTATCTCTCCCAGGTGTATGGTTAAGGTTGATTTGAAGAAAGCCTATGCTTCGGTTGAGTGGGGATTCTTGATCACTGTCATGCAGGAGCTTGGTTTCCTTCAGAGATTTGTTGATTGGATCTGGAATTGTCTTACTTCTGTCTCTTACTCTATTCTTATTAATGGTTTTCCTGCCCCCCCCCCTTTGAAGCTAAGAAAGGGTTAAGACAAGGTGATCTTATGTCTCCCTTTCTCTTTGCTATTGGTATGGAATACCTCTCCAGATGCCTTGATGAGCTTAGGTTATCTCCTGACTTTAACTTTCACCCTAGATGTGAAAAGTTAAACCTAACTCACATGATGTTTGCTGATGACTTATTGATGTTTTCTCGAGCTGATAGTGTTTCTGTTAAACTTCTCTTCCAAGCCTTCTCGAAATTCTCGGGTGCCTCTGGGCTTTCTGCTAATCTTGATAAAAGTGAAGTCTACTTTGGAGGAGTCTCTGTTGATGTTTAGAATGAGTTGAGAGAGCTTCTTGGTGTTTCTCAAGGCTCCTTTGCTTTTAGGTATCTTGGGGTCCCTCTCTCTTCAAAGAAGCTTACTATTGCTCAATGTAGGCCTTTGGTGGAGAGAGTCACTACTAGAATTCAAGGATGGATGGCTAAACACTTGTCCTATGCTGGGAGGCTTCAATTGGTGAAGAGTGTGTTGTTTGGTATCCAGACTTATTAGGCTCAAATTTTTATTCTTCCGAAGAAAATTCTGAAAGAGATTGAGGCTAGGTTCAGATGCTTTCTTTGGACTGGTTCCTCTGCTCCTGCTAAGAAGTCTTTGGTTGCTTGGAATAATGTCTGTCTTCCTAAAGTTTGTGGTGGCTGGAACCTGCTTTCTCTTCCTGAGTGGAATAAAGCAGCTGTCACTAAGTTACTTTGGGATATTGCTCATAAGGCTGATAATCTTTGGGTTAAGTGGGTTCATATCTACTATTTCAAGCATAAAGATTGTTGGACCACCCCTACCCCTGCTAGATGCTCCTGGTTCTTGAAGAAGATTTTGAGTTGTAGAGATATTGTGAATGATCAAGGGGGATGGGATGGTTTCGTTCAGGGCAACAAGTTGAAAATCAAGAAGCTTTATGCTGCTATTAGGCCTCAAGTGCCTAAAGTTCCTTGGAAGAGAGTTACTTGCCATAATTTAGCAACTCCCAAAAGTGTTTTCATCTTGTGGCTAGCTTTATGGAATAGGCTTGTCACTAAGGATAGGTTGCTTCAATGGCACATCTCTTGTGATCCAAAGTGTTTCCTTTGTTTGAATGGCAATGAAAGTGTTCAACATCTATTTTTTGATTGTGATTTCTCTAGGAAGGTTTGGAGTAAGGTTTTGGGGATCTTACGTGTTTCCAAGCCTGTTCAGCAGTTTAGTGATGAGATTGATTGGATGAAGAAAATCTGCAGAAGTTCCAGATTAAAGAATAAAGTGATCCAGGTGGCCTTCACTGAAACAGTTTATGGTATTTGGATTCAAAGGAATGCAGTTCTCTTTACTGGTTGTTGCAAATTAGTTGATGCCCTTGTTCGGGATATTGTCTTTCACTTAGTTTGTAGAATCCCGGCGGGAAGCAAATATTTGATTGTCTAGGCTTGTCTCGGGCTCCTTGTGTGTGTGTTCTGGTTTCTTTCTTTTTCAGTTGAGGTTCCCGTTGTTTTTTGTTTTGTTTGCTGTTCTTTTTATGCTGGTTTTTGCTATTTGCTTGTTATCTTTGTGCTTTTGGTGCTGTGTTCTACTGAGTGTTCTGCTGTGCACTGCTAAGCATTGCTGTCTTGCTGCTGCTTTGCTGGTTTTGCTTCTGCTTTGCTGTTCTGGTGCTGTTGTTGTTGCTGCAGTGTGCTGCTGTTGTCTGGTTGTGTTGCTTGCTGTTGGTGCTCTGTTGTCTGCCCTGCTGTTCTATTTTTATGCTGCTGCTCTGATCTGCTCAATGCTTTGCTGCCTTGCTGTCTGCTTTTGTTGCTGGGTGTTCTGCTGTGTTTTGTTGTGTGCTGCTGGTTTGCTACTGCAGTGCTGGGTGTGCCTCTGCTCTGATGTTCTGGTGCTGTTGTTGTTGCTGCAGTGTGCTGCTGCAGGCTTTGGGTGGTGTTTGTTATTGGTGCTCCTCTTTCTTCTGCTGCTGTACTGCTGGTTTGCAGCTTCTGCACTGATCTTTGCCCTGCTTTGCCTAGCTGCTGGTGTTGTGCTCTGCTGTTGGTGCTGATTTGCAGTTATCCGATGCTTTGTGCTTTGTTTTTTTTTTTGCTGTTGGTGCTAGCTTTGGTTATTTTATTGCTGTCTTTTTGTTGTATTCGTTTTCTTGTCAGTTTGCAGGCTTGTTTGCTCCTGACTGTTGGTTTTGGTAACTTTTGGGTGTTTGGTTTTGTTGTTTTTCTGGTTGTTTGTTGTCTGGTCCTGGTTTCCGGAACCCTTCCTAGAAGGTGGCCAGAAATCTGATCATATTGGGGAGAGGGGGCATAATCAAGCAAACGAGATTCATCATCAACAATAGGAGATAGAGAGTTGAAATCACTTGTACTAGGTTCACAAATAGGATCACAAGACAAATCATGGGGATGCATGCCACTAATAAAACTATTATCACATTGACAATCAAAATTAGCAACATTACATGCCCTATTGCGTACTTCCTTAGCAAACCGTACAAAAAAGCTCCAAGCACTATGAACCGATAATGCTTGAAATTCGCCATTAAACCTACTTTCAACTTCATATCTCGTTTGTTCATTCATTCCATAGTAACAAATCTCACAAGCTTCACAAGGATTACAACCATTATAGTTCAAAAACCCCACAAGTCTATGGAAGTAGACACAAAAAGGCTCATCATCATATTGAGGAAAAGAAAAATGTGCCATTTTTCAAAAACAAAACAAAGAGAACAAAAATAAATCAAAAGAAATATATACAATGGACTAGTCTCAATAAGATAACATAACGGTAATGCGGCGCCAATTTTACAAGGGAATAAACGCGTCGTCAATTGTCTATCCCTAGATCAAATACAATTTATACAACCTAAACAAACCTAATACGAGTATAAGGCAAGCATAGGGGTCGAACCACAGAGAACGGTAAACACCACCAAATGTTATCGACAATTAAGCTAGTCCGGAATAGGGGATAAATAAACTAAAGTCTAAAAATGCTAAAACAAGAAATAAAACATTAAGGAACCAAGGGAAATGGGTAGGTGAAGATGTCACTTGATCATGCAATAACACGGAAGCAAAGCAATGGTAAACTAAGCATGCATGAATATCGAAGTAA